ATTGGGGTTGGAAAAAGGGAAATTGGGGAAAAACCGGGAGAAATGGGGCTGGGAATGCGGGAAATGGGGAAAAACCGGGAGAAATGGGGCTGGGAATGCGGGAAATGGGGAAAAACCGGGAGAAATGGGGCTGGGAATGGGAATTTGGGGGAAAAACTGGGAGAAATGGGGCTGGGAATGGGAATTTGGGGGGCAAATTGGGAAAAACGGGGCTGGGAATGGGAATTGGGGGAAATTTGGGGAAAGTGAGGCCGGGGGTGCTCTGGGAATGGGAATTGGGATCGGGAATTGGGGCAGGGAATGGGATAAGGGGTGGGGACAGCTCGGGGTCCCCGGGTCACCCTCGGCACTGGGGGGACACCAAAACATCAACCGGGACCCCAAAAACATAAACCTGACCCCAAAAACACAGACTGGGACCCCAAAACATCAATCCTGACCCCAAAAACATGAACCCTGAACCCAAAACATGGACCCTGACCCCAAAACATCAATCCTGACCCCAAAACATCAATCCTGACCCCAAAAACATCAATCCTGACCCCAAAACATGGACCCTGACCCCAAAACATCAATCCTGACCCCAAAAACATGGACCCTGACCCCAAAACATGGACCCTGACCCCAAAACATCAATCCTGACCCCAAAACAGGAACCGGGCCCCTCCCCCAGGCCGCGCTTCCCAAGGATCCCGATGATCCTGAAGATCCCAAGCTCAATCCCAAAGATCCCAAGGATCTCAAGGATCCCGATCCAGATCCCAAAGATCCCGATCCTGATCCTGAGGATCCTGATCCCGATTCCTCATCCCGATCCTGATCCCAAAGATCCTGATCCCGATCCCGAGGATCCTGATCCCGATCCTGATCCCAAAGATCCCAATCCTGATCCCAAAGATCCCAATCCTGATCCCAAAGATCCCGATCCCGAGGATCCTGAGGACCCCAATCCTGATCCTCATCCCGATCCTGATCCCCAAGATCCCAATCCTGATCCCGAGGATCCTGATCCCCATCCCAAGGATCCTGAGGATCCCAATCCTCATCCCAATCCTGATCCCAAAGATCCCAATCCCAATCCTGATCCCGAGGATCCTGATCCCAATCCCAAGGATCCTGATCCCAATTCCTCATCCTGATCCTGAAGATCCTGAGGATCCCCATCCTCATCCTCATCCCAATCCTGATCCCCAAGATCCCGATCCTGATCCCCATCCCAAGGATCCTGAGGATCCCGAGCATCCCAAAGATCCCCGAGGATGGCAATGCTGATCCTGAGGATCCCGATCCTGATCCCGAGGATCCCGATCCTGATCCCGATCCTGAAGATCCTGAGGATCCTGATCCAGATCCCGAAGATCCTGAGGATCCCGATCCTGATCCTCATCCTGATCCCGAAGATCTCAATCCTGATCCCGATCCCAAGGATCCCGAAGATCCTGAGGATCCCAATCCCCATCCCGATCCTGATCCCCAAGATCCCAATCCCAATCCTGATCACGAGGATCCCGGTCCTAATCCCGATCCTGATCCCAATCCCGAAGATCCTGAGGATCCCAATCCTCATCCCGATCCTGATCCTGAAGATCCCAATCCCAATCCTGATCCCAATCCCAAGGATCCTGAGGATCCCAGTCCTGATCCTCATCCTCATCCTGATCCCGATCCCGAAGATCCCAATCCTGATCCCGAGAATCCCGGTCCTGATCCCAAAGATCCCGATCCCAAAGGTCCTGAGGATCCCGATCCCAAGGATCCCACAGATCCCAATCCTGATCCTGAGGATCCTGGTCCTGATCCCGAGGATCCTGATCCCCATCCCAAGGATCCTGAGGATTCCGATCCCGATCCTGATCCCAAAGATCCCAATCCTGATCCCGATCCCAAGGATCCTGAGGATCCCGATCCCAAGGATCTCACAGATCCCAATCCTGATCCCGAGGATCCCGAGGATCCCAATCCCAAGGATCCTGAGGATTCTGATCCTGATCCCGATCCCAAAGATCCTGAGGATCCCGATCCCAAGGATCTCACAGATCCCAGTCCTGATCCCGAGGATCCCGAGGATCCCAATCCCAAGGATCCTGAGGATTCTGATCCTGATCCCGAAGATCCCAATCCCAATCCTGATCCCGAGGATCCCGGTCCTGATCCCAAAGA